GGGGAAGGGAGGGGAGGCAAGGCAGAAGGCAAGCTATGGCTGTCCGCAGGGCTGGTGCCCGCCATCTCGGGCTTGGCAGGTTGGTGTATGGCATAGGGAAGCCGTTGGCTGGGTTAGGGCTGTGCCTGGGCCCATCCCTGAGAAGTCCTTGGGGCATGCTGAAGGGGAGAAGCATGGCGCGGCTCCCTGCGAGAGGCTGGGGCCAGGGGGGCTTCTCGCATTTTCAGACCGACATGCCACGAGAAAAGGTATGAGGTGCGAACCGCCCTGTGGGACATTGTCTGCTGTCCCCGCAGCCTGCCTGTGGCTCTGGCTCGTGGCTTTTGTTTCAGGGGTTTTTGGAAGTCGGTGCAAAGGAAAGGCGTTTGTCCAGCCTGCCAGCCTCATCCTCCGTTGCCGGCACAGTGAATGTTGTCTCTGGAAGTGCTCATCACCAGCCTGGAAGCAGCCCCTCAGTAACCTGGTAACCATCACAGAAACTCAGCACTTCTTGTGCATCTGGGTCAGAGCATTGACCAAGGACAAAGTTGCTCTGGGGTGGTGGTGTGGCGGTAATGCTCCTGCGGCATTGTTTGTGCATGGGCTTCTCTTCACCTTTGGCTCCATTTAATTCTCTTGTTTGGCAAAACAACACAGTGCTCCTCTCCTTTGTGTGTCTCCATCTCCAGTTACTTGAACTTCCTCCAAAGACTGCTAAAGGCCACGGGAGGGCTGGGGAAGCGTCCTGGCAGTGCTTGCACTCTGGCTGCCTGGAGGCGCTGCTCCAGGTACTCCACCAAAAGGCGCAGGACCTCCAGCCATGCTCCTCAGCCCCTGCAAGGGGTCAGGCCTCATGTGTGAAGGACCACACGTAGGGGAGCTGGGCAGGAGAGCAGCATGCCGTCCCTGCTCCCCTCTCCAGTGGCTGTGTGGCTCGGCAGCTCCCAGTGTCACCACCGACAGGGCGAGGCCGGCCCTCAAAGTTGGGGAGCATAACCAGCTCCAGAAAACATCCCTGCTCTTTCCCACAGGGAGCAGCAAATCTGGCTGGCAGACGAAAGCAAATGTGGTTACATCTGAAAGCTGTTGATTCCAACAGAGTGGCTCAAGATTCATTAAAGCCTTTGTGAAGGTGCGTTACAGGCCTCACAGGGGTAGCAGGAACTAAAGCTTGTTTTTAGGGTTCTGCTACTGTAGGGGAATGGAAACCAGAATTTCACTTGCCCCAAACCAGTTCATACTTGTCTTATGGCAACTCAGACTTCTCCTCATAAACATGCCAGAGCAGGTGCGATGATCCAGCTTATTGTGGTTTTATGTCCTAAAGTACTGGTCCCTTGCCACTACTCCTGCTTTTGAGTTTGAAACTGCTTGTGCTATTATCTCGATTATTTTTTTAATTATTTATATAGGCAGTGTGGGAAAAGCAATGAGAGTGATTACACTTGAAATGAGAAATCTGCTTGGATGAGTTTTTGAATCACTTATGCTGTGTGCCTGAACTACACCATCAGGCAAATGAAGGGGAAACTCCCAAATGGCTCAAAGCTTTCGCCTCCACCTCTGGCACCACATGCCAGCCCTGGGATCTCCAGCTGAAATGTGGAGGAGTGCAGCAGGGCTCCAGCACTCCCAACTGCCTCCTTTCTCCCCCCCCCGAGCAGTTTTCTTCCGCTGCAGTATTTCATAAGACCTAGGGTCTGGCAAAATAGCAACTAGAGTGAAAATTTATACATTTTTTCGCAAAGATGATAATGCAGCCGAGTGCTTTTATCCCAAGAACATGTTTTTGTGAGTCAGATATCCCTGAATATCTTTGGAGCCCAGCAGGTTCTCTGCCAGTCCTGCTCCGCTTCCCAGAACTATTTCCCCTTCCCTGGTAATGTTGCTTTGGCACTGACATTTGTGAGCCTTACACAGGAGATCAGAAATTACTTTCCAGATCATAACTGGATAGTGAACCTATTAAAAGGGAAGCAAGTCCACTAGACGTTCAGTAAGGGCCCTGATTCCCCATATTCATTCTAAGCCTGTATTTATCTGATTTTCCCCTCTCCAAGTCCATTTTCTAGGAAGGTGCAGTACTCAAGTATTATAGTGACAGAGAAAGAGGCTTGGTTTGTTCCACCCATCCTGACAGTAAAAGGATAAGGAAAACACAACAACAAAGAATTATGACTAAAACAGTTGCCCAGAACTGAAACACTTTTTCTCCCAGCAAGGCAGGACCTTAGCACAAAAATAAAGTTGCAAGAACATAGCTTGGTTCAGCTTTTAAGCACTACAAGGACACCTAAGCTGGAAATAAACTCACAAAGTAGGGAGTAGCTGATTTTAAGGTAAGCAAGAATGAGCTAAAGTATAAAGAAACACTGATTCAAGTCCATTCTTATCTTATTCAGCTGCTTGATAGAGTCATAATGTGTCCAATTATAAGTACATCTTGCTACCTCAGATGCAGGTAAGCTGCTTGGGGTAATTAAGAAAAAGTGTTTAAGAGCAACGGTCCTTGTAATACTCAGAAGATCAAAGAATCAAGTAGACGAGACAGAAATTAGAGCAAATTATTTTGAAGCGATACTAATACGCCTCCCTTTCTGAAATCTTCTCTTTCCTGCTTAATATTTAAAATCCTCTCAGAAATGTGTGTGTGACAGTTCTTGTGATAGGTCTGCAGACACTGCATGTACCGCATGGCTGCGCATGGATTTTGGAGCTATCCATGATGTGGGGAAAATACTGCATCCCTCATGCAGTCTCTGGTTACCAAGGCAAAGGCAGGTATAAATAGAAACAATCTGATTTTTTTTTAAACTCTATCTAGAAACCTGTGTTGTTGATAACCCTCTGACAGCAATGCCTTATTCCAAATGGTTCTGTTCTACATTTGTGTAGAAACTTTTGGTCGTACACATTTAATCCTTACCTCTCTAAATAAATAGCAGCTACTTCTGGTTGTCATTCCACTGAAATACAAAAACTGTCTTTGAAGTGAAGTTTGGACAAATACCTATTTTGGTAAGAGCTTTCATCAATCAAACAAACACGAGCTAACACAAAGCTTGGAGTAAAACCCAGAAAAGAAAGCAGTCTTTCTCCTTAAGTATCACCATAAGTGGCCATTCGAATGACTAGCAGTGGAAGGATTTAACAAATTTTACATTTTCATCTTCACCAGTAGCTTCCAGATTCTCCACACCAATTAGATAGATGGGGCGGTAAATCACTTGCTGTTAAATACAAAGGGAATAAACCAGAGATTAATTCGGTTGATGACAGGCTTGCAGTTGCAGAATCAAGACAGCCCCAGCTTGAACTGATCTGGATCATCTTTGAAACCAATGGGGTGAATTAAAAATAAAAACCTAAGTTCTGCAGAAACTGATGGGTTATGAGTAGACCTTATAAGTTGCTGCTTCAGCAAGATCCTTGCAAAAACGGCCAAATACTGAAGTAAATGTATGGTCTGATCTAATGTGTCATTTCCTTTACAGACAAAGTTACATTAAACAATGGAAGTAATGATAAAAAATATGAAGATGCATAATTTCGTAAGTACTTGAGCTGAAATGCAGGAAGTTTCTGGAGCCCCTGAAGAGGGAATAGTTCCCGTCAGTAACATTACCTTCACGCCTTCAACCTTGCAGCTTGATAAACTGTCATGCATAATCACCACGTTTATTAAAATGTCTTGTTACAGAAAGATCACTTAGCTTTTAGTGGAATTATGTGACTGATCTCTCAAAGGCTACACAGGTCTGAAAGCTGACATTATTCTGAAGTTTTAATTAAGGAACAAAAAGCAAAATGAGTAAGCTGTTCTTCACAAGCAACCACTGCAGTTCCAGCTGCACTTCATTTGCTGGAAACCTCCTCCACTTATCACCGCAGGTTCAAATGCTCACAGACCTACAGCCTTACCTGTGTTTCCAGTCAATGGACTTCCAGGCCATGAGATGCCACGTTTTGGGTCTTGTGACAGGACAGTCCCTAAGTCACCAGACTGCGACTGACACGTGAGTGGGCATCGATGCACACGCGGGTGGATACTGGAAAGGGCTGCTCCAGCAGTGCTCCGGTGAGTGTGGGGCTGTGGTAGGGAAATCATGGTGCAGTGCTGTGATTTCCCTCCTCCACCAGCAGCTTCTGTACTCATTGCAGCTGGTTGGTGGTTGTAGGCCGGGGTAACACGTGTGTCTGGTGTGTGGAATACTGGGGTGGGGAAAAATGCTGCAAAACCCACCCTTTTACAGAGTCGGAGTATGGATCTAGAGGCTTAATGTTAGGTGGCCAAATTTCTGATGTGCTCTATAAGTGAAGTGTTATATAATTGGAGAGGAAATTACAGTGCAAGAAATGCACTCTATTAATTTAAAACTAGTTAACAACAATTAATTTTAAAAAAATTTAAAACAATTATATGGACAGGCAGACAACAGCCATAGCGTTCATATACATGCAACAGCCCTGCCTCACTGCAAAGATTACCCTCTTAAAACCAAGCAGAATCCCAGTTTACAAAAAATGTCGGGGTTTTAAGTGTTATTTGTAATGGTATTGGCAGTGTTTCTCTTCTCCACTCCTTAGAATACAGTGGAGAAGGAAGAGCCAAGTCTAAGCAGTTTCAGGTACCTTAAAGCTAATAGGGAGTGCTCCTTAGAGCCTCCCTCCAGGCTTTGGTGGCGCAGGGTTGAAATTAAACCTTTAGAAGTTTGCCCTAAACAAACTTACTGCAGGGCTTACACATGCAATTTGACTTTTCTGAATGAAGTCACGCACCCATGCTAATGTTTGTGTTAAAATACTGAAAAGCATTTTCCTTTTCCTCATAGGAAATTTGTACCCATGACCTGCAGTAACAGCTATTTCCAACACTTGGTACATCAAAATAGTAGTTCTGCCAGCCCCCTGCCCAAGAGCACACACAGTACAGCTTTGCAGGCCTCGGTCTTTCTTGGCAGCAGCACATCTCAAATATTCTTCTTGGGTATTAAGTCTCCAGTAGCGCTACCTGAGCCTTTGATAACTGCAAAGCTAGTTTTATTTTTCCTTAAGACAAAATGAATCTAGAGAAACAGAGAAACTAAGGTAAAGAAACATTAACTCCTATATGTTTGTGCTGTTGGTATCCCTGCAGTGAGCCAGATGCTCACGTGCTAGCCAAGAAGCCTCTGCATTGCCTGTAATGACATCTTCGATTGCTGCGGAGGCAAAAGGACGGATTTAATCAATGACACCAGCACTGCAGTCTGTCCTGATGCTATGAAACACAGACTCCTGGCCCTGGTTTGCATGTATTCACCACTAGCCAAGGGTAGTACAGAACATGATTTTGAAGTGTGAAAATTTAGGACTACTGAATATCCACCCTGTGTGTTCTGAACAACCTCGCTGGTTACTTTCTCCCCTGAAAACGTTGGAAATTTCTATTTCCCTAACTACTGTTTTGTTTCAGGCTTTTTCCCTTAAATGGCCATAGTCTTATGTTACTTGTCAGCTTCAAAAGACAATCACGCGTGCAATATTTTTGTCCTGTCAGCTGGTAGTGGATTTCAAAACAGGATGCCTATTTTTCCCCCCATTATTTGCAACAGTGAGACACAGAAGTCTGAGCTTTTGTTTTCAGTTGGTTATACAGGTTCAACCTGGTGATTCATTCTTCCTGCAGCTACGTTTCCAGGAAAAGACAAAGTCCTGGCTCTTCTCCAAGTTATCCATAGACTGCTTGAGAGTAAGATCAGAAAGCACTCCTTCTCCCGCAGCTGGGACACTTTCTAAGAAGGGAGATATTAAACAAAACACAACACAGAGCTGGTGTTATCGCCCTGCAGACAAGCAAGGAGGCACACAGCCTTGGAAAGGCATGTGCAGTACTAAGTCAAGGTGAAGACAGCAGCAGAATTTACAAGATTTAAGACTCTTGGCCCTGTGAAACACAACTGAGCATTTGCAAGGAGCCATTCTCCATTTCTGGGACTGATGGTGACTGTGAAGCTGGATGGCTTATGAAAAATCCTAGAATTTAATTTTAAGCACTTTAGGGGACTCTCAGCTTCTTGTTGCAGTTGTTGTGGGCACGAACATACCCTTGGATTTGGGAGTTCTTCAGGAGTCGTTATTCAGATAGGAGCTGGTAACTATGGTTTCAGATGTCTCCTCTAAGGGATACTGCTGCTCGCAGATGAAGGGAAGCCTGGTTTTGCATCATGAAGCAAGGGACTACGGGGTTGTGTGGTTATGAACACAAGCGCTAAGCTTTCAGAGAGGGAGTTAAATAAAAATGTGCACAAATCTACCTACAGGTAACCATGGCAGGAAATGTAAAGACTTGTCTGAGAAGTGGAGCTCCTTTGAACACGAGCAGACAGTGGTTCACGTGTACAGGGCAAATGGGCCAAGTAAAGAGGCAGAATTACCTTCCCCTGTGAGCCCACAAGCCAAAACACAGCTGGTAGCACTAATATTAGTCCTGTCAAGCCTGGCAGTCTTCATTTATTACGCACCCTGCAAATAATTATACATATAGTTAAGCTTATAGCTCAGAAGCTGCATTCAATAGTTGGCAGGCTATGTTCCTCGCTGGTATAGATCCTTTGACCTCATTAGAGTCACACCAGGAGTGAATCTGGTTCTTTGTAATTTCAGAATAAATCATGCGTCTTTTTCATCTCCGTATCTTTTTAATTTTTACAGTTTGGCTCGATGATCCTCAAGCTCTTTTCCAATCTAAATGATTCTGTGATTCTGTATCTTGGGAATATAGGTTGCTCTTCCTTTGGCTGTCATCACGATCTGACTTAGGTTTTGTTTCCGGATCCCGCCTGGCCTTCCTTAAAGGCTGTGTGGAGTTCTGGCAATTACAGCAACTTCCCCAGAGGACTTAAATTAGGATTTGTTTCTCACATTCTGGGAAGTTGCTTTCCCTTTTCTGAAAATTAAAGCAAACATACCCTCTACCCACCATGCATTATTAAAAGTCAAACATGAGCCATCCCTTGGAGGAGGAATGAAGGCCTGGATAACAAACTTGCTCTCTTTAGGGAATAATGACATTAAGTGTCAAATTTATAAACTCCCATTTGCACTGGCATTAACACCCGCCGGAATTCATTCAGCAGTCAGTACCCTTGAGCTATAACTTTGTCGGTTACGTCTAAGTCACATTTTCTTTGTGAACACAAATGCAAGAGAATTACTTTTTATCTTCATGAAAGCAAGATTCTGTGGGGTATTTTTAAAAAGAAAAAGCAAACCTACAATGCCAGAACAAGTCAGAAGCTGCTCTGCTCTGCTCTGTTCCCCAGGAGAAAGATGCAGTATGCTTTTGAGGAACACACAGAGGGACCCTACTGAAGTTACTCCTACGCTTGGTTTCCAGAGAGCTGCATCTCGGCCCTGGCAGCTGTAGGGCCTCTGTCCCTGCCCTGACCGCATCCATCCATTCTCTGGGCACTGCAAATCCCTTGTCTGCCTGCCATGGCTCAGCTGGGCGGCACATTGCAAGAAAACCTGCCAGGAAACATTTGCCTTCACATTACAGCATGGCTGCCTTGGTGGGGAATAGCTGCCCGGTGGGAGAGGGGATGCTCTCCCCAAGCCGAGTGGGGCACGCCGCATGGTCGCTGGCTGCGGCGCAGTGGCAGCTCTGGCTGCATTGCCCTGCTTTGTGCTCAGAGCCTGGCCAGCACTTCTCAGGGAATGTTTTTATCTGCTGACTTTCAGTCGCGTACCTGCGACTACCCATAGTGAGTGACTGAAACCTGTTAGATATGTAACTGAAAGAAGAAAAGAGAGAGACTTAGAAAACCCAGAACACCTTCCTTTGAGGATCACACCTGCCTAAAATCCAGGACTTTGGTCTGTGCCCTCCTTGTCTGAGTTATCCTGGTTGAATGCAGTGCCGAGGCAGCGTTCAAATGAAACTAAACATAATCCCTAAGAGGTTAATTGAGCATGAATGCTCAGCGCTAATCCAAACTACAAATACTGCGTGCATTTAAAGCTGAGTGATAAACTGTTTTCTCGTCCCATAAGAAAAAGCCTTCACCATTTTAAGAAGTGTTTGCCCACTGCAGAGGATAACACAAGTTCTTTCTGATTTGTTTGAATTTTGTCTGCAAACATGCAGGTTTGAGCCCTGTTCAGAATAGGCCATAGCTCGTGATCAGGCTTCTTCCTAAGTGTCTGCCTCTGGCTTGAAGCGAGAAGTCAAATACACTCGTGAATCCCAATTCCATAACCAGCAAGTCTCTCTTTCACAGTGGTTTTCACCCAGTACACTGTGAAGCTGGAGAGTCCTTCCCTAGCAAGGTGCAGAAACAGCACGCTGTCATCGGTGGCACTGGCGCTTGCCAGTGTTACCCTCACCTCCTCCCCGGCAACAGCAGTGATTCTCCCCCATTACCTGGGACATCATTATTGCTACTCTGCAACGGGACTTATTAATCTTTCTGGCCCAGCCCTGTAATCAGGAGAGCTCACTAAAACTGACCCACCCTCCTTGCAGTGTCACCTACACTGGGAATCGCCCTACTCCAGCTGCAGCCCTGGTGAACCAGGACAGCCCTGAAACCAGGCCAGGGGTGGGGTGAACACTGCAACTGATGGGAAATGTTTCATGCAGGGTGGAAAAACAGTTCAGTCCAATGGATTATGTAAAAGCATGGTATTTAGTGTCTGGGGGGGGGGGGGGGGGGGGTGCTGCCCACTGGGTGTCCTGCTCAGAGAGAAGGGGCAGCGACAGAGCTCAGTGGCACAGACCTCTCTACCCCGAGCAGGAGGAAAAGGGCTTGAATCTCAGCGGCCTGTAGTAAGCTGTTTTCAGCTTATGCATTTGTTATTGCCAAGATCCGCCATCCAAAATGCCTACTTATCATGCAAAATGTGGAACTAGGTATGTGCTGCCCATTGTACATCCAAGTAATTGATTTTTTTATAATGGAAACTGATGATTCACTGGGGTAAATCAAGCCAAACAGTAGAAAGACAAGATGGAAAATAGGAAGAGAACCAGGACCGGTAATAAATCATGATAGATGGTATTCAGTATATTGCTATAGCAGTAAGTCAATAGAGTGCTAAGCTACATAAATAAAAGATAATGTGTTTCATCTCTGCAGGGTGTTGCTCAGGCTGTACCTATTAAAAGGATCGCCTGGTTCTGCAGAAAATACACACAGCAACAGGTTTTGTCATATTATCCTGATAAATCAGATCTGTATTAAGATTCTAGGAGTTACTTTGCCAAAATGGAGGGGAAAATGAATATTCCTCATTACTGTAGCTACAGGGAAACATGCAGAGATATGGAAAAATACTCTTTACTGGTGTACTGAGGTATGTGGAAGCGGAAGCTTGAATTCTCCTGGAATGACGGGGAGGTGGGACAGTTTGCTGTTTCTGTGATTTCCAGGGATTAAAGTCAGCTTCCTCTTGCTTAAGACCTACATGAATAAGGTTAAACAGGGAAACAGACTACTGATTTCTTTCCTCCCTCCGCATTTTTGTATAAATCCTGGTGCTCTACAACAGCACTTGTGTGGGGGA